TTGGAGATAATACATCTTTTACATAATTTGTAATAATTGCTGTAGATAATTTGCCAGATGAGCTAGCTGTAACAGTTACGTTTGGGGCATTGAACAGCGATGTTTGAACTCTAGGTCCAAAAGTTCCGTGAGCCTCTTGTAAGCAAATAAATACATTATCTACAACTTGTCCGTTAGCATTAATTAAATATTGAACGGTGTAGGAATGCGTAACTTTATTACTTGGAGAATGTGCAAATCCAATAGTATGTTTTTCTCCTTTATATGAAAGTGTCCTCGGTGAAATCATTTCGTACGAAAAACCACACTGATCCGTATTGAATATGAAGTTTCGCGAATAAGATGGCAATAAATTTTTTACTGTTGTTTGAAATCGCGCAGCTTTTACTAAAATATCCTTTTCGTTCACTATTTCTGTTTTATTTACAAGTTTTGTAATCTTTCGAGATGCTAATCTATATTCTTTTTTAAATTTTGCAACCCAGGAATCACTAGCTGTAAATTTAATTGAACTATTCAGTTGAAGAAATTTCTGTAATGCCCATATTTTTAATTGATTACCTTTAACAATTTTATAGCTGTCTCGAGCTTCGTCAAACATTTGTTTAGTATGTTCTTTAATGATTTTTAACGTTTCAATTCTATGCTTTCTAGATTTAAATTGTTTTTCCCATTTATATAAATCACTAAAACGTTTTAATTCTTTAGCTCCTTTCCGCTGTAATGTATGTAATTTCCATTTTGGGTGTTTCTTATGTAAGTTAAGAATTTCTTCTTTTCGTTTTCTTGAGATTATATTTTTATCGCATTTTTCATCATCTGAATATCCTGATTCACAGTCAGTGTCTGCGTTATCAATTTCTTTTTCTTGAAGCAGACATGTTATTTTATTATCTGAAATAGGCCTATCTATAAACAAATTATTATTTTCCCTCTGACAAAACTCTTCGTCATCTCTACTTATATAGCTACTTAAAATATCGCTAAATGCATTAAAAAGCAGTTTTGCTATCTGTTTATCAACGTCTGAAATATTAGCAGTGCCGGCCCGAGACAAGTCTTAGGATGGAGCGAGATCCTATTATGGCGCCCCTTGGTTCCCCCTAATTTATACCCTTTAATTTTCTTTACCACTAAGGCGCCCCCTAGGACTTAGCGCCTGTAGCGGCTGCTCCGTTCGCCCTATGGTAGGGCCAGCCGGCCCTACCATAGGGCGAACGGAGCAGCCGCTACAGGCGCTGTCCTAGTGGCGCCTCAGTGGTAAAGAAAATTAAAGGAAAAAATATTTTTTTCATTTTTCGATATTTTAATTGCAAGCGTGTGGCCAGTATGTGAATGGTCTTATCTGTTGAGACGCGCGTGGGTCGAGGGCGTGGGCGGGGTTCCATTCCCGGGCGCCATAATAGGATCTCGCTCCATCCTAAAATTTGCCTCGGGCCGGCACTGTTAATGTCCTTTATATAAAAGCAATCGTGCCAATTTTCGTTTCTTTATCTTCACCCATCCTGAGATATCAACGAAATAGACGCCAACACATACAGACACAAATATAAATATCCACGGAATTTATTTGCCTTTTTTTTTACGGTTTTGGATTCAGGAGGTCTCAAAAAGTGGAGATTTCCAAAATCTCGAAAAGCCAAATTTGACAGGATTCCATTACTTTCTCTTGTTATGTGTATATAACAGCCGAAGAAGTAAAAATTGTTTTATTATTTATATTTTAAATTTTATTACAGTGATACGTGTAAAAATTATACGGTATTTTAATACACACGCTTTATGAACATTTTATAAATTTGTTTATTACAAATTTAAAGAAATTTTAACAAATAGATTTCAAAAGTTCAATGAACGTTTGGACATTTATTGATTGGAACGCAGGCACCACTGGTAGGATGACGAGCCAAATTTCTCTTGCAGACACAGAAATCATTATCTGCGCGATTGCATTCATATACACTCCCACCTAATGTTAATCCTGTACATTTATTTTCACAATCGTATCTCTTTGTTATTTCTCCTTCAAACCGACACAGGTTTACTTTATCTACAAATATATGACATCAATGTCTTAAAACTCTAATATATATATATATATATATCTTATATACAGTCAAACCCCGTTAATACGCTATCGGTTTAGGCGAAGTCGATGTTAATGCAAAGCAGATTTTCAGTCTCGTTGATGCGAATAGGCAATTCGATGTTATTGAGTTCGGTTTATGCAAAATAACGGCTAATATGTAATATAAAACTTGTCGTGGAACCACGAATTCAATAACAATTATATTACGTCGTTTAGTACAAAGTACAGTGCTTCAGGTTTCCTCGAATCAAAGTGGAAAAACACACGTCAAGATCAGGAACGCGTTTTTCTACTTTAACGTTGACCACAACACTTACGTTAACGTTGTCGTCATTGATAATCCATTCATTGGACATATGCCACACCACCGACGTTCACTTCAAATCGCAAAATAACTTTCTCTTATAGTCGGCACTTTGATTTATATTTGTATTGTATCTGTGATAATGCCAAACGATTTATGAAGGCAGTTGACATTGCAAACTGAAAATCTTTTTGTTTTCTCTTTCTTCCTTCTGTTTATTTTATTATTAAGTTATGGCAACACAACACTTGGGCGATCTGCCGTTTGACTTTTGACATTGGATGGTGTAACCGTTGATTTTATATTAAGCAAACTTTATATAATCTGATATGAAGTTATCTTATATAAACTTTACATAAAACATAAACCTCGGTAATATCAATTACAAAATTTTACATCCCTTCAACTTTGCATTAACGGAGTTTAATTGCATATAAAACGGAGATTTATAGTATATTTAATTATTAAAGGGGTTCATGGAAGAAAGGGGCAAGTGACATTTCAAAAACAGTTCTTTTTTCATTTTGAAAAAGTCAACAGGAGATACAATTATTAATGCTTCCGGAAAATTCTAGAAACATTAACTATTGTTTAATAAATATTACTGTATTTCTTCGTTTGCATTAATAGTTTTTCAGAATAAGTACAAAACTGTATCCTTTAATTTCTCAGAAACTTGATTTTGCTGGTTACCTCCTTCTTCCACAAACCCTTTCAATTAATCTGAATAAATACAAAAGAAACTCACTTTTTGGGCATTCTTTCTTGAGGATACACTCTCCAGTTGAATTTCTAACATATCCGTTTTTGCAGAAACATCCTTTATTACATGAAGCTAAGCACGGTTTTAAAACACGATAATTGTCGCAAGTGGCTTGGCATGGTGAACCACATTTTAAATATTCTTCATTTGGTAAACTGCAAATTTCTTTATTTTGAATAGAAAATCGCTTTTCCAATTGAGATTCTAAATCATTTCCTGGAATAAATTAATAGTTAGAATATACTTTTTAAAATTTTTTATTAAAAATTCATTACCTTTCTTGCATTGATCTATTGGAACACAATGATTTTTCGAGTTTCTAACAAATCCTTTGTTACAGACGCAACCGGGTTTACATAATTGAATACATGGACGAACTTTCCCGTAATTATCACATGTTTCTGGACAAAAACTTCCGCATTCGTCATAGAATTCATTTTCTAGGCATTTTACATAATGCGAATTCCAAAACTGGAATCTAAAATCTAAAAGAAAAGAAGCGGAATTTACACAATTTTTTGAAAGAATACATAAATAAATTATTTACCGTCAGCTGAAAGAACCGCAAGTGGAAGCACTAAAATAATGCAGATTACTTCCAGTACAGAATTCATGTTGAATAAGAATATGCTAAACTCGAACTAGACTTATATTATATAGTGTCCGCAATTCAAATAGAAAAGGTTATTGGCATTAAAAATGAACAAATTTCATCCTTTGTTACACAAGATTTTACAGGATATCCTAAAAGTTTTAGTTATTTTGATCCACACATTAAGCAACAAACTAATATAATATATTTTCGTATTAATTTTTTATGAAAAATATTTTTATACAGTACGTAGTGTATAAAAAATATTTTTTTTAATTGATAAATATTTTTAAAATTTCATATTATAAGAATTGTTTTAGTTATGCATTTAATCTTATCGTCTTCATATATTTAATTATTTTATTCATGTTAGATACATTATTAAGCAATTTTTAGTATTTTTTCCTAAATAACGAAAATGTATTTATTTATCAATAGCTGCCTATATAGCGCTATACTTTCTGGCAAGAGTTATAGCGCACAAACATGATTTAAATCAGAAATATGAGGCCTCATTCCTCTGCATAAGTCATAAAAATATACTTTCAACTTACAATTGCTAATTATTATAAACCAATTTTAAAATTTATAAAATTTAAGTATCACAGAGAACAAGTTTTGAATGATTTTATTATTATTATTAGCATCAAGCTAAAGAAAGTTATTTAAAAATTAATTATATGAAACAGATGACATAATATAAATGTGTTTAGTGATATGTAAAGTTTAGATTCAGGTTAGAATATTTTCATATTTTTCATAGATTTTAATATTATAATTGGTCAAATATCCAATATTTTAAGATAAAACTAGAAGAAAGGTCCCTTTGTTGCTCAATAGTTGTGTGTCATAGAGATAATGTTTCCTCTTGATAAGTTTCTTTTTGATCAGGATATTCCGTTACTATCAGAGGAAGTAAAAAATGTAATGAAAATTTAATAAATTTCATTATATTTTCATTATAAATTAAAATATGTATATTTGTATTCTTTATATTTATCTTTGAATANAATGGTGTTTCGTCGTTTTTTATTAATTAGAGACGTGTTCTTCTCTATTACGGTACAGATTAAAAATAGATAAGGATAGAGGAATGGATAATCGTTAACTTTTTATACAGTACTTTCTAGTTCAATATAATTTTTAAAATACCCAAACAACGATAGAGACAGTCGCGTTTATCCGTAAATTATATTATGAGCGTGACATCCTACTCTGAATCGGATCTTATCCGTTGCTGAACGGCGAATGATAAGATCCGATTCATACTACCAGGACCTTCACTTTCCGGTCACTCTCCACTTCACTCATGATTCTATCAAATTTTTATGTTATGTCCAATGTATGTGTTTTACCCTTAGTATAAAAACATACAGTACATGGTACGTTCTTATTTTTGGCTAATAATTATAAATTAACTAGAGACTATTAAAAATTTTATCACATCTCTTTTGTTATATTCCTCTTAAAAAAACCAAGACCTTAATCAACTCCTAAAAATATCTAAAATTGCAATGCATTTTGGATGGAAATAATTAGCCAAAAATAAGAATAGTATACATACGTTTTCATTATAATTATTATAAAAGTTATAAGTACAGTACATTGTACGTATTTACAATGTACTCAATTGATAAAGATTTGACGAGACAGTGAGCGGTTCGGCAGTATGGATCAGGCCTAAATGTAACTGTTTCTATCGTCTATTGCATTTATTTGCAACTTTGATTCGAACTTATATTAGTATGGATCATACCTTTTTACTCAAATAATAGATTAGATCAATTGAATTTGATTAACCCCACTTTCACCGACATTTAGGCCTACCATCACATCATTAGAATTTCATGTTTCACAATACTCTCACCGATTCTCGGACAAAGCTACCTATTCAGAAGCAAAATCTAATGCAAATCAAGTACGATCTACACTCGTGTTCAAAAAATAAGCACAATTGTCTAATTCATATTGCGAAAAATAAAACAAAATAAATAACAGAAAATATATATGAACGTTTCCAGACAATAAAATAAAAGATGCGATCGGACGTTTTATTAGAAAGCACAAATTCAGGTAAAATATGCAGTCTCCATAAATATAACAGCTAGAAACAGACATTCAGTGATGTAGACTAGACTGTCATATCCAGGTTTAGAGATGGATTTTAAAGAACAACAGTTGTTGCATATCAACCAGAAAATGAACGTCTGAGACTTACCTCCCCTCAGAGCTACAGAACTACTATTTGATGTTAACAGTTTGTTTGGTTATGGCAACGCAACACTTGGGCGATCTGCCTAGAGTAATGCCTTCTGGGAGGTCTTTTTAAAGGAAACTGGCCCCTCTTAGGCGTTACACACGTGGAGAAAACCCAAAAACTCCACGTGGCCAGTCCGTCCTAGCGAGGCGCGAACCTACGACCGAACGCCTAGTGTTCAGAGTATGAAGACCTCTTGGGCACGATGTTAACAGCGAGTTGAACAGAAGAATGTTTAGTAGCAGATCTATAGAACTAAATGCGTTTATCGATGTTACAGTTTCACGAAAAACTGTATACAGGAACCAAATTAGTACAAGAATATTCAATCATAGTTAACTGCTACATAAAAATCATAAAAAATTACCACTATAACCCTTTACCAGCAAAGAAATTTACCGATATATTTAAAGCAAAAATTTACGGTTATTTTAAACCACACAATCAAAAATCGAATACAACTGAATAGTACGTATAAAATGACAAAATGAAGAACAATGACAATCAAGCTTAAGAACTAGAGGGGCTGGCCTTAGTGTTGTAACGAATAGTATATTCGGCCTCAGGCCGAATATCGAATATTCGGCCAGGAGCGTGGCCGAATAGCCGAATATTCGGCCAAACTATTCGGCTTGATTAACGCACGTACGAAAATTGGCGCGCAAACCGCATTATGGCAAGGATCCCGCTCTCTATTGGCCCGCTGTCACTACGCTTCGCCAATCGCGTTAATTCTTGGCAGTTATAGCGGACAGACAAGAGTGTCATGGAAGTATGCAATAAATGATGATATCAAATGTGGATAACAATGAAATGACCTACACGTGTAAATAACGGAAAAAGAACAGAGAAGGANTTTCTAATTAAATTAATTGAATAATTATAAATTCCATCATACTATATATATTTATAATGAAAAACAAAAGAAATTGCTGTTAATGCAATTCTTTCTGACTATTTTCTTCTCTAACGTTATATTACCAGAAAGAATAATGTTGACTATTGGTTCCTTAATAAATGTATTAATAATTTTTTTTATCTGTTCTATAAGCGCAATGTAGCGTAATAACGATCACTTGGCACTTGGCACTTCTTTATTTCAATTTTCATATTTTTATTTTTTTAATTGTAATTTGTTATTGAGTAATTGGATTAATATTAACCTCTGGATAGAAAAACATTTCGAATTTTAATAACAAAGAATTTAAATATATTGACAGAAGTTAAAATAACAGAAAATAATATAAAACAAACAAATTATACAGTGAAGGCCTAAAGTTTAGGACCGACAATTAAATTTTAAATAATCTATAATTAAAAAATTAAAACTTCTAAATAAAATATAACAAATGAAAATAAAATCTACAATAGTTGATTACGTCTGCATAAACACATGATGTATTTGCATGCAATATATTCAGCACATCATTTACAGTACTTTGTCATTAATTCTCTGGAGTGCTAGTAAAAAGTTTAAGACTGAATATGAAGTGCACTTTATATAAGTATGAATAAAAATATACATTAATGAACATATCAATCAAAAATGGATTTGTAATTTTTTCAAAAATATGGAAAAAGAAAAATTTAAATTAAAAAAAAACAGCGATAAAGATGCTTAAAGGTACCAAAAAATTTAGAAAATAGTGAATTGCAGCAAAACTTTATGTGTACAATAAATGCAACTGTTTAATGAAACTGGTGGGTTTACAAGTCGTCCAAAGTCGAAACGGCCACGAAAAACTGAAGAGCATATTGACGACTGCAGCGAATGAAAAAAAAAGTCAAAATCTCACATCAAAAGAACCTGCAATTAAAAATGGCTAATGTAATATGCCCACCATTAATCGGCGCACTATTAGACGAAGATAAAACTAATTCCAATTATTTGGGAGAATTTCCAGAAAAAAGCTATTTGTCTCTGTAAAAAATAGAAAACCCATTTGCATGAGCCCTTACAAATGCCAATATGGAGTGTTGATCAGCGGAGAAATGTTTCATGGTCCAACGATACTAAAATATATCTATTTGGTAGTGATGGAAAAAAGTATATTCGACGCAGAAAAGGAGAATATTTTCCTACTTGTCTGCGGCATATGGTGAGGATTGGAGGTGGCAGCATCATAGTGTTGAGATGCTTCTTGTGACTTGAAATTGGCCCTAACCATCAAATAAATGGAAAACGTGATTTCCCTATGCTGACGATATTTACCTAATAGCATAGAATTTTCCACATGATAATAATCCCAAACACACCAGTAAATTGGCTAAAAAGTGATTTCAAAATAACTATACAGTATTAAACTACTTTAATGGCTTGCACAATCACCGGACTTAAACCGCATCGAAAGGTTACGCAGTGTTGTGAAAACTTCAGTTCACAAACAAAAATTCAAAATAAAAATAAATTGCTTAAGCATGTTCAAGGTTGGTCCTTCATTACAAAGGAACTTTGTAAACGTTCAGTTGATTTTATGCCAAGAAGACGCATAGTCATCATAAAAAATTTTGGTTACTCCACAAAATACTTTGCTCGAAATTTGTTCTGGTCCTATACTTTTGCCCAGAATAAAAATGTATTTAGTTTGAACTGAGGTAATTTACATTAATTTGTTGATACTTGTCATATACATAGTTTATACAAATGTTACTATAAATTTAACAATATAATATCACATTAATTGCATTCATTTTTCTGTTAAGGGCATTGATATGAAAAAAATGCATGGCGGCCCTAAACGCTTGGCCACACTGTATATTTAAACTTTTTAAATATAAAATACACATTAAAATTGGTCAAGCCTAGAATTGTTTGACTTACTTTAGATTATATTCACTAGATGGCAGAATATTGGAATTTTTTTTTTTTTAGAAAACAACAAAAATAGGATCTCGCTCCATCCTAAAATTTGCCTCGGGCCGGCACTGTTAATGTCCTTTATATAAAAGCAATCGTGCCAATTTTCGTTTCTTTATCTTCACCCATCCTGAGATATCAACGAAATAGACGCCAACACATACAGACACAAATATAAATATCCACGGAATTTATTTGCCTTTTTTTTTACGGTTTTGGATTCAGGAGGTCTCAAAAAGTGGAGATTTCCAAAATCTCGAAAAGCCAAATTTGACAGGATTCCATTACTTTCTCTTGTTATGTGTATATAACAGCCGAAGAAGTAAAAATTGTTTTATTATTTATATTTTAAATTTTATTACAGTGATACGTGTAAAAATTATACGGTATTTTAATACACACGCTTTATGAACATTTTATAAATTTGTTTATTACAAATTTAAAGAAATTTTAACAAATAGATTTCAAAAGTTCAATGAACGTTTGGACATTTATTGATTGGAACGCAGGCACCACTGGTAGGATGACGAGCCAAATTTCTCTTGCAGACACAGAAATCATTATCTGCGCGATTGCATTCATATACACTCCCACCTAATGTTAATCCTGTACATTTATTTTCACAATCGTATCTCTTTGTTATTTCTCCTTCAAACCGACACAGGTTTACTTTATCTACAAATATATGACATCAATGTCTTAAAACTCTAATATATATATATATATATATCTTATATACAGTCAAACCCCGTTAATACGCTATCGGTTTAGGCGAAGTCGATGTTAATGCAAAGCAGATTTTCAGTCTCGTTGATGCGAATAGGCAATTCGATGTTATTGAGTTCGGTTTATGCAAAATAACGGCTAATATGTAATATAAAACTTGTCGTGGAACCACGAATTCAATAACAATTATATTACGTCGTTTAGTACAAAGTACAGTGCTTCAGGTTTCCTCGAATCAAAGTGGAAAAACACACGTCAAGATCAGGAACGCGTTTTTCTACTTTAACGTTGACCACAACACTTACGTTAACGTTGTCGTCATTGATAATCCATTCATTGGACATATGCCACACCACCGACGTTCACTTCAAATCGCAAAATAACTTTCTCTTATAGTCGGCACTTTGATTTATATTTGTATTGTATCTGTGATAATGCCAAACGATTTATGAAGGCAGTTGACATTGCAAACTGAAAATCTTTTTGTTTTCTCTTTCTTCCTTCTGTTTATTTTATTATTAAGTTATGGCAACACAACACTTGGGCGATCTGCCGTTTGACTTTTGACATTGGATGGTGTAACCGTTGATTTTATATTAAGCAAACTTTATATAATCTGATATGAAGTTATCTTATATAAACTTTACATAAAACATAAACCTCGGTAATATCAATTACAAAATTTTACATCCCTTCAACTTTGCATTAACGGAGTTTAATTGCATATAAAACGGAGATTTATAGTATATTTAATTATTAAAGGGGTTCATGGAAGAAAGGGGCAAGTGACATTTCAAAAACAGTTCTTTTTTCATTTTGAAAAAGTCAACAGGAGATACAATTATTAATGCTTCCGGAAAATTCTAGAAACATTAACTATTGTTTAATAAATATTACTGTATTTCTTCGTTTGCATTAATAGTTTTTCAGAATAAGTACAAAACTGTATCCTTTAATTTCTCAGAAACTTGATTTTGCTGGTTACCTCCTTCTTCCACAAACCCTTTCAATTAATCTGAATAAATACAAAAGAAACTCACTTTTTGGGCATTCTTTCTTGAGGATACACTCTCCAGTTGAATTTCTAACATATCCGTTTTTGCAGAAACATCCTTTATTACATGAAGCTAAGCACGGTTTTAAAACACGATAATTGTCGCAAGTGGCTTGGCATGGTGAACCACATTTTAAATATTCTTCATTTGGTAAACTGCAAATTTCTTTATTTTGAATAGAAAATCGCTTTTCCAATTGAGATTCTAAATCATTTCCTGGAATANTTTTGGACAGAAATTTCCACATTTATTATACATTTCACTTTCACGACATTCTCTATCAGGTTCATTCCATATACTCCAATCAAAAGCTAAACTAAAAACATTTCACGTTTATATTCATCTTTTTTAAAAATAAGCATCTAAAAAATTATGCCAATACTTATCAATTGAAAGAACTATTAATAGAAATATTAAAGTAATAAAAATTACTCGTGACACGCATTTCATAATGAGTTTTACTTTCCTGGCTGTTATAACATAACACGGGTTACATTTCCTGCTGTTATTACATAATATTGTAATCGTGTTCATTTAGCCCTCCGGGGTTTGGAATTTGATGTTTTGACAACTCTGAACCCAAAAAATTTATAAAATTAATACCCAGAGAGTGTGTGTGTGTATTGATTCTATTTCGTTTAATATTTCAGGATGGGTGAAGGAAAATTTACATATTAATTTATCAGAAATTAGAAATTTTTACATCCTTATAAATGCAATAAGTATTTATATATTTTAATTTCGTGTTTGTATTTTAGTTTTATTTTAAATACATAATTTTTAATAATTATTTGAGTGATGAAGTTTATATGCTGATTAATATACATGTCGGTAAACAAGTAAAAACTGCACATGATTTTTTAAAGTTGGTTTTATTCGTATATGGCAACGCAACACGAGCGATCTGCCGAGAGGGAATGCATCCCGGAAGGTCTTTTATCGGAAAATGCGACCTATTTAGGTGTTACTAACGTGAAGAAAATTCTGAAAACTCCGTGGCCAGTCCATTGACAAGAATGTAAAATCCAAAATCGTGTTCAGTGATTTTTAGCACTTGGCCACAGATGGGAGATATTTTAAATGTTTTACCTAAAGTGGACATTTTTAAAATATCCAGTTATTAAATTTATAGGAAATAGACAAAAGAACACTTTACCAATCATTGTCAAGGCTTTCTACGTATTTCAAAATAAAACTTACCACATTCATTCAACCGTCATATAGACATATCAAAAAACAATTGTTCTTGTTTTTAATTTTAAACGTCATGTATAATAGAATTATATGCTGTCATTTCAAGTGATATGTAAAATTTATTAATAAATTTTATTCAAAAGTTAATATAGTGTCCATTTAATAATTATTTTTTAAAAAATAAGTCTTTGATTAAAGATTTACTTTATTGATGATTTTTAATAAATTGAAAATGTTTATATTATAACTTATTATGAAAATAATTATTTGGAAGATTAACAAAGCTATTTTTCACAACCAATATTTTTAATTTTTGGAAGTTGCCACAATATTTATTAACAAATTTTAATCAGAACATTAAAAGGAATAATCATGTATAGTTACACTTATATAAGTAAGGTTTTTCTTCTGCTTACTGGTCAGAGAAAAGAGCAGCGATCTTTTATCTGGTCAGCTCCAACCTGTTTTTTGATCCTTTGCTGGTCACCCTCGCAATTCCTCAAGCATAAAAAGTGAAAAGTCAGGCAAAGAAGTGAAACCCTTCAAGTAGAACTGACAGTTTAAAATATAAAAATAACGAAAAGTTAAAGAAGACAAACTGATTCACATTTCACACATATATTTTATATTTCATTTATTTCAAATTCATTCATTTTATATTTCAAATGTAAGCATTTCTTTTTTCTATAAAGTTTATTCTATACTTTTCTTAGTTTATTTTAATTTAACTGATGACAGAATTTGTCAGAAAGTCATGTATGTAAGATATTTATGAAAATACTCTTTAAATTACACTATATGTTATAGTCTATAGTTATTGTATAAATGTACACGTTTAGATAGATAAGAAACAGGTTCCTGATAAAGAGGGATACGTACGAAATTAGATAAATAAATAAATAAATGCTTGACTACAGTATTGAAAAATCTTGTTTAGATTCATGGAGAAAACTCCCAATATTTATTATTTTATAAATAAAATAAAAGTGTTATAAATAAAATATTTTCTTCAAAAATAGTAAAACAATCTGTTTTCATTTGTATTATTCATTTTATTCATATATTTTTATAGCTTTCTGAAGATCCACTTTTGACTGGGATTGGCTGCATCTCGCTTTCTACTTGCCTAAACAATATATATATTTTTAAATTATATTATTCTCATTGTATATTTCTATTCTGTTATCTTTATTATTACTTTTTTATAATGTAAACACTCTCAACTATCTCTCATATTACAATTAGTTATATTCTTTAAAATGACATGGAAAAACAGTCAAGAATCAATTCCTCTTTTGACATTATTGAACTGAGGAGTGAGATTTAACTTGATTTATTTTAAAGCCAGCTTTTAATTTGAATAAAAACATTTGAATAGGACCGGACTACCTTTAGCATATTTTTTGGGAGTTTTTCGCCTATGAATCAGAGAAACAGAAAATTTTCAGTATTGTTCAAGCATTTATTTATTTATCATAATAATGAATAATTCTGATAATTGATGCGATAATTCTATGTTTTATCTGGATTTTACAGCTAATTTGAAAAGGATGCGAGGTATACGCCATGGCGGATTATCCGCACGAAATTACGGTATTCATTTATTTTTGAGTTTATTAAGGGAAACTTCAGCCTGTAACTACTGTCATAGAATTTTCTTTTCAGTATAGTCCAGTAAAAGATACCATGTAAACGTTTAATAAATTTTATTTCTTAATGATAAAAGAGATTTTCAAATTTTCGGATTTTCTCACTATAAGTCTTGCAATAATGAATGGAGTCTAAGTCTAAAAGTAAAGAAAAAATTCAATTTTGTATCATCATGATGCTTTTACTCAATGAATCTTTGTAATATTGATAAGTATCTGGTAATATAAACATCTTTATTTAAACCTGTGCTTGCTTCAAAGAAACTAGGACTGAACATCGTTCTAATACCAGCAACATTTTAGGAACGTTTTCTCAGCTATGGTCTTAACCTCGTTGGTTAAGACTAAGCAGAAAAAATTGTAATATAAGCCAGTACTTTTTCAGGAGGATTTGTTATACACCACTGTCGAGAGGAATTTCAGATGTCAGGCATAGCAATTTCCTTTTTTAGCAAACAAACATAAGGTATCCGGATACGTTTAAATGAATTTTGTATTTCGGCTATTCCATTGTTATTACAATTACAAACTAGACTCTTTTGTTTCCGGTTATGACATTTATGAATAAACTGTAAGAAAAATCAATTATGACGGTTTACAAAGTTTAAGAGAAAACTCTAATTAAAAAGAGGAAAATTCGTAAATGTCATAACCGGAAACTAAATATTCTAATTTGCAACTGTAATACCGATGCAATAACCCAAAGATTGAATCAGTTTCTCTAATTTCATCCGTAAGTTAAATCAGTATGATAAGTCCTATTAATAGATTAATATTAATAAAATGGTATTTAAAGAGCTGGAAGTATTAATTAAGTAATGTTATATTTATTAATAAATTTAAATGTATTTTAAATGTTTTAAAAGTATAATTTGATTAGAAATCTAGGAAATATCTTCATTATCGATTCAATTTCTAATTGTATTTTATGGTTGAACGAAAAAGAACAAAAAATAGTCAAACTTTCCACATTGCGCAATGTCTTACTAATATAAGATGTTGCACAATTTATCTAAGTAAACTCTTCACGAGTATTGTGTTGTTGTAATTTATAATTAGCGAAATAAAAATTATGACTTAATATCGTATCATTATAATTAAATAAAATCTTATTTTAGATAAGTTATTATTATATTAATTATAATGTAAACATTATAAGGAATGGATTTGATTAAATTGTCTTGTAAAAATTGTATAATTTTGCATTTTGTATTATAGTGAAGAACTACAAAAATATTTTAAATGTATTGCGAGTTAAGAGTATAAACCAATTATCAAAATTCCTTCATACAAAACATTCTTCTCGGGTTTCTATCTTCTTATATGTTAAAATTATTACAGACTATCACTATTTGTTTCACGTATAGTTTTGTAGTTCTAAAATTTTCATGACTTGGTTTTCGGAAAGTCGTCGATTATTTTATTTTTTTAATTTAAAAAATGGAAAACATTAGAATGATGACTATTACACAGATTATTATTAGGATGATGGATGGTCTCAGTTAATATCATTGCTAAATTCTATATCGAATCAAAGCAAGTCTACTATAAACAATTACTATTAACGTTTAATGTTTCTAGAGTTATGTATAATACGTATGACTTGACATTTGTGCAAGAAACTACTGTATAAGCATAATTAATACATTAACCATTTTTTATAAGTGCTATTTTTGTTGGGCGAATTCTATGTACTGTACTTATTATTAATAATTATAAAACAAATGTTAATATCTAATTAAAAATTTTAAAATTAAAAATAAAAAAAGAAATATTCATATCCTCTTTAATTTTATGTCTTAACAAGTTGCAATTACATTAACATTGTCTCTCGTAATTCTGTATTGCATTCACACAGAATAAAATCTCTAAATATTTTCATAAATGCTATTCGTCTCTTCTTTCTCAACTTTACAAAATTCACTAGTAAAAAGAATAAAGATTTTGAAATTATTTTCAAGCTTTGAGAAATAAATTTATTTAAAATCAATTTATAATTTTTATATATTACTTTTGGAATATCTCACTAAATACAATATTCATAATAGAAAACATGCTTTCATCCACTTTTGTGAATATTCTAATATTCAGAATGAAAATTTACTCTGGAATAGCTACTTCACAAATTGTTTAACCTGCACAACGATAACTTGTTTGATCAATTTATTTCTATTATTATAAGTATGATTTTAAAAGTAATTGAACCTATGACAAAAAATCTAATTAGCGCTAATAAAGTAATATGTTTCTTTTTAATATTAATTGAAGGTCAATATTCACTAATAAATCAAGTAATTAATTTGTCATTGAAATTTGTTTGAACATTAAGTATAGGTACTTACTTAATCACTGTTAATACAAGTTTTTACAAATGCCAGATTTGCATATAAAGAATTTAAATCGTTTAATAATTACACTTATTTTAAAATTATTTTCAATTAATTATGATTGTAAATACATTATTATTTACAAAGATAATTCACAATCTAAGAGAAAATTTGAATAATTTTATAGAATGATTTATATATTAATATCTAAAACGTTGTTTAATCATTTAATTAATGATAATTTTTATTAAAAATTTATTTTTTTACAAAAGTAAAAAACAAAAACTAGTGTTTAAAAACACTAAAATTTCAGAAAAATTTTAAATTAACATTGCTAAAACTTATTTCTGTTTTGTTTTAATCTGTCAAGAGATGAGGAAATGCAAAGGTATTATCTGTGCAAGACATTGATAAAATAATCAGTGATTTCATTTTGACGACACCTTTAGCTTCTGTTTTGTTGAAGATAAAGTTTTATTCTCGGAAATAAAGTAACAACATTTTTGCATTTATCTCCATGCGAACACGTGTATATACAACTGCTATATTTACGTAACTTCTGAGAAGAGTATAAAGTCCTTGAATTTGACAGGAAATCTTATTCAACAGTGAACTTGTCAAGCATTGTTTCATTTATCCGTGTTCTTATAAAAGTAGTTAAGAGCATTTTGTATTTAAAGTTTTCATCATGAAGTCGATGTTTCTTTTAATCTGTCTCTTTGTAATAATTCTGAATTTCTCTCAAAATCAAGCTGCGCGTAAGTTGATTTTTATTATATTTATAAAAGTGACTCATTTGTAATGATTAGATTTAAAATTTATCTATTTTTTGAACGTTTTCTGATATTATGCTATTAATTTATCGCAATTATTTTGTTAGAGATAAAATTAGTTCGAAAATGTTTAATGAAGCTTGAAATATTTTAAATATATTTTATATTGAATTCCCAGTTAGAGAAGATCAACAGAACTATAGCCCGGGCCTCAAAATTTAATCTTTTATGTAGAAATTATATACAGTATTATGGTATGAAA